CTGGACGTTGCAGACTCCCAGTGGGGGGCACGTGGGTGGAGAACTGGCCCTCCCGCTAGGATCCGACAGCATGGCCCGCCCGGGAGCAAGCACCAGGACCTGATAGGTGGACCTGGGCAGGGAGGATGGGCGCCCAGAGGCCCTTGGGAGGGACCAGCACACACACACCAGCAGGGTCCTGCCCTGGGACCGACTCCATGAGTGTTTTCATGGAGATGCCTGAGTTATTGAGATAAATACAGATGACAGGTAAATACAGATAAATACAGATGTATTGAGATAAATACAGATGAACATCGGACACTGTGTATAGAGACAGACATGAGAAGACTCAGAAAACTAGAGAGAAGACAAGCAGGCTGGGACAGGAGCTGAGGGCGGGCACCGCAGCGAGTCCCAGAGTTTCCTCCTGGCCCACAGACCCCAGACCTGAAGTTTGAGAAACCGCACACCAAGAAACCCACTAGGCCTGGCAGATGAAAGGAACTCCTGCAAGCCCAGCTCCAGCTGGGACCGGGAGGGCAGCCTGGCAAGACCGCGCGTGTGGGCCAGGAGCCACCCTCCTCCAGCCAAACCCAGAAAGACCCAGGCCGCCATCTGCACTCCACCTAGTCTGGGCTGTGACAGGACTCCCTGCCTCTACCAGGTGGAGGGGAGGGGCCGAGGGGGCTGGGACTTGCATCCAGGGGGCGATGAGAACCCACCTCTGACCGCAGAGGCCACATGGAGAGCCAGGAATTCCAGCCCCCTCCCCTGTCCATTCGGGGACAGTGTTCAAGGGGCCAGGTGGGAAGTCACCACCCAGCAGTGACGGCCCCCCAGGGAGGTTGCGGGGGAGTCTGGTGTGGACCTGGGGCCCTGGCCTTGCCCCCACACAGTGAGGGGCCCCCTGGGTGTCAGAGAAAGCAGGGGGTCGACATCCTCCCCCGCTGGGCAGTGAGGGTTCTGGGGAGCTGGCTGAGACAGAACCTGGAAGAGGTCCGCAGTCTCTCAGCCTCTCACCCAGGAAGGGCGGGGTTCCGTTGACTTTGCTCGCCATGCCAAAGACCGGAAAGATCTCGCATCGCATGAAAAGGGGCAGTCAGTGGACAGCGACACCCAGAAGACAGATGTGTCAGGACGATCTGACCCAACATGGCGAGATGGCCGTCCTGGAACTGCCTCAGAGGACGGCCAGCAACGTGCCAGACACACAAAAACCCGTCTCAGCAACGGCAGACCGCGTAGAGAAGGAAACAAACGGACACCTTAGAGTTCAAGTGGAAACTCAAGGACGTACTCCACAGAGGGCGAGGGGCGGAACCCATGAGCCAGTGGGGGACGGCAGGGGGGCCCATGCAAGCTAGGGAGAGGAAAGAGTAAGCAGGATGGACTGAGCCTCAGGGCCTGCAGGGTGTGACAAAAAAGCTGTGCTCGTGCCAGCTGCATCCCAAATGCCGAGGACAACCCGGACTGGGATGGGGTGCCAGTGAGGGCAGGCTAGAAGGCCTCGAAAAGGTGGGAAGCGGGAAGGGGTGGCTTCCCTGGAAAGCAGGAGGATTTGCCACCCGTTTACTCAGCAACTGGGCTGTATTTAACCCTTTACTCCATCTTGAGTTAGTTTTTGTGCATGGTGAGAGGTGGGGTCCAGTTTCACTCTTCTGCATATGCTGAGCCAGTTTCACCAGAACTGTGCTGAGCCTAGGGCACCCGTGGAGTGCGACTCACATCTGTTTCATGTCTCTTCCATAAGCTCAGAGCGTGTCGCGGAGTGCCTTGGTGAGCCTGGCTCTGCCTAGAGTCACGTGACGTAGCTCTTCCACCATCAAGTGCTAGGCTGCCATAACAGAGCCCCACAGCCAAGGCGGCCTGAACAGTGGGCGTGTGTCCTCTAGTTCCAGATCCTGGACATCCAGGATCATGGTCTCGGAAGGCCTGGCTCTTTCCACCCTCTCCCCTTCACTCACAGCCGCCCGCTGGCTGTGTCCACGTACGGCCATCCCTCCCTGGTGGGGTGTCCCCAGTGTCTCCCTGTGGCCCAGTGCCCTCTGTGAGGTTGCTGGTCCCATTGGACTGGGGCCCACCCTGTGGCCCCATTTACCTCGACCCCCTCTTTTTCTCTTAAATACAATTTTTAAAAATTCTATGTTTGGGAGGTTCAAATGCGTGTTTTTACACGTGCATGTTGTGTACTGGCAGGGACTGGCCTCAGGCGTCCCTGTTCTGTGGGTAGTGAACACTGTACCCCAAGTATGGCTTCTGAGCCCTGCCCCCTTTAGTGTCCCCGGGGTCTACTATCTCCATCTTTGTGGCCATTTAGCTCCTGCATGGCATGAATGCTTGGTTTTCGGCTTCGGAGTCAGTCACTTCAGATGATGACCTCTAGCTCCGTCCATGTTGCCACAAAGGACAGGATTTATTCTTTTTTTATGGCTGTGTAATAGTCCATGGTGTGTGTGTGTGTGTGTTTTTCACATTTTGTATCCAGTCGGTCATTGATGGCCACTTGAGTTGGCTCTGTGACTTTGCATTGCCAGTAGTGCTGCAATGAACACGCAGAGGCAGGTGTCTTTTTTATATGATGATTTATTTTCCTTTGGGTGGGTACCTGGTAGTGGGATTGCTGGGTTGGATGCCATTCTACTTGTGCTTCTTCAAGAAGTCTCCATCCTGTTTTCCATGGAGGGTGAACGGGTTCACAGTCCCACCAACAGTGGACACGTATTCCCTTTCCTCTGCATCTGTGCCGATAGCTGTGGTTCTTAGACTTTTTGATGACAGCCATTCTGGCTGCTGTAAGATGTTATCTTATGGTGGTTTTAATTCGCATTTGTCTGATGGTTAGTGGTATTGAGTATTTTTTCATGTGTTTGTTGGCTGCTTGTGTGCCCCGTTTTGACAGGTGTCTGATCACGTCCTTTGCCCACTTTTTGATGGGGTTGTTTGTTTAATGTTAAGTTGTGTGAGCTTCTTGTAGATTCTGGATATTGGTCCTTTGTCCAAGGCTTAACTTGCAAATATTTTCTCCCATTCCCAGATTTTCTGTTCACTCTGTTGATCATTTCTTTCCTGTGCAGAAGCTTTTAGTTTAATTAAGGCCATTTGTCTATTTTTGTTTTTGTTGCATGTGTTTTTGGGGTCTCTGTCATAAAGTATCTGTCTAGACTGATGTCCAGTTTTTCATCCTAGGTTTTCTTCTAGGATACTTATAGTTTCAGGCCTTGTACTTAAGCCTTTACTCCATCTTGAGTTAGTTTTTGTACATGGTGAGAGGTGGAGTCCAGTTTCACTCTTCTGCATATGCTGAGCCAGTGTCACCAGAACTGAGTATTGCATAGGGTGTCCTTTCTGGACTGTTTATTTTTGTGAGCTTTGGCAAAGATGGGCTGGTTGTGGGTGTGTGGTTCTACTTCTGGTTTCTCTGTTCTGTCTGGTTGACCTGTCTGCCGGTTCTTGTACCAGGGCCATGCTGTTCAGCTTCTGTAGCCTTATGGCATAACTTGGAAGTCTGTGATGCCTCCCCCTGTGTCCTTTTTGCTTATAATTGCTTTGGCTAGTCGAGCTCTTTTTTTAATTCCATTTGAACTTTAAGACTGTTTCCTCTGGTTCTGTGGATATGATGCTGACGTTTTGATAGAGATGGTTTAGGTTGCCTTGGGCAGTGTGGTCATGTTGACAGTCCTGGTTCTTCCAAGCCCTGAGCCTGGGTCATCTTCCATCTTCTGTGTCATCTGTGATTTCTTTCATCAGAGTTGTGGTAGTTCTCCTTGTAGAGCTCTTTCACCTCCTTGGGGAAGTGTCTTCCTGGATCGTTCATCTTTCTGTGTGTGGCTGTTGTGATTGGGATTGCACTCTCGACTTGGTTTTCAGTTTGACCATGATTGGTAAGTAGCGATGCTGCTGATTTTTGTATGTGAATTTTGTGGCCAGACAGTTTCCTGAAGTCGTTTACCCCTCCTGAAGGGGCCTTAGGATTTTCCTTTTTTTTTTTTTTTGAATTGGAGTCTCACTTCATCACCCAGACTGGAGTGCAGTAGCACGCTCACGACCACTGCAGCCTCGACCTGCTAGGCTCTGGTGATCCTTCCACCTCAGCCTTCCAAGCAACTAGAACTACAGGCACGCATACCACACCTGGCTAATTTTTTATTTATTGTAGAGACGAGGTCTTGCCAAGTTGCCTAGGGTCCGACAGTTGCCTAGGCTGGTCTCGAACCCGCGGGCCCAGGCGATCCACTCGCCTCAGCCTCCCAAAGTGCTGGGATGACAGGCTGAGCTACCGAGCCTGGCCTCTTAGGGTTTTGTAGGTGTGCAGTCGTATCATCAGCGAGCAGGGTGACTCCTCCCTGCCCATGTGGTTGCCTTTTGTTTCTTTCTCTTGCCCAATGGCTCTGCCAGGACTTGTAGCACCGCGCAAGGAGTGGTTCTTCATCACCCCTTCCACGCCCTGACTCCAAATATGGGCGCGTTCTGAAGCATTGGGGGTCAGGGCTTCAACACAGGAATCTGGGGACCACAGTGTAGCCCATAACAGCTTCTTACAGCATGTTTGTTTAGTGGCTTGAGAAAGTATGATGGTGAGAGTCGTTAGCAGGACGATGGGAGGCAGGTCTGTGTGCGTATCTGCTAGAAAATGCGAGGACTGTGTCTGGAAGCTTCTCAGATGGGAACGGCCACTTCAGCAGATGTGGTCGCAGGGGGTCAGTGGCAGGGGGGTCTGCTGAACACCCTGCTGGCCTTTGAGTCTTGTCCGGCATGCCTACGCCACGCGTGTTCTAGGATATGAGTGAAATGCTGGTTTGCAGCGCAGGGTGACGTGGGACCTCGGAGCTGCGGGGACCTGCTCGGCCATCCCCATGTCCTCAGGCCCTGTCATGGAGCCCAGCACGTGGGGGGCGTTTAGAAAGCGTGCGTTGAGGATGAGCTGTGCATGAGCCAATGGCGTCCCACTCCCATACCAGGACTTGGGGACCCTAGTGGCCCATCCGGTTGATGCCTCTACCTCTCCCCTTCGTTTGCAGACGGCAGCAGAGGCCTCCGGGAGGGAGCAAACCCCAACAGCACGGCGACCACCAGCCAGGCAGCGCCAAGCACAACAGGGACCACCAGAAGTCCTACCAGGGAGGCCCCACGCCCCACACCTCAGGGAGGCCCACCCACCACGGCTACAGCCAGAACCGCCGCTGGCACCACGGCAACATGAAGCCCCCGCCGGGCGACAAGGGGGAGGCAGGTGCCCCCCGTGGCACCAAGGAGCCCGTGGCCCTTGAGGGCCCCAAGCCAGAGGACCCCACGGGGGATGCCGGACCGGGCAGTCTCGAGCCCCCCCGCAGCCCTGACACCCCGGCCCCGGCAGCCTCCGGGAGGCTGCCCCCGCTGCCAGGCGGCCCCGAGACTGAGGCAGAGCGGAAGGACAACCCCGTGCCCGAGCGTGCAGGGGAGCGGCCCAAGGTCACCCTGCTGGCGTCCTCCAAAGACAGGCTGCGGCGGAGGCTCCGGGAGAAGGCCCCGGTAATTCAGTGCTCGCTGTTGGCGCCTGGGGAGGATGGAACCAGGCGGGCACCGCGCCAGGGGGGCGCCCCAGACCCTGACAGACCTAGGGGTCGGGGCACGTGCAGGGAAGCCGGGACTTCTGTGGCTGCAGGAACCTGCCCACTGGGCAGCCCCTGCCTTGGGCCACCCCTCAGGCAGCGGCCAGCTCCACACGGGTCCCTCCAGGCACACGCCGCCTCCTGCCTTCCGGGGCCCCAAGAGGCCCAGGGTGGGCGCTTGACGTCCACCCAGCCCAGAGTGCAGGAAGAGGCGCTTGTGGGGGGTGATGACCGGCCAGGTGCAGGGAGGGTTTTCTGGGTCAGAGACTGCCCTGTCCAGCTGAAGCCCTTGCCCCCATGGCACCTGACGGGCATGTGGGAAGCGGGCGCTCCTGGCCTGAGAGGGGCGGGGCTTCTCTGCGTGGTGGAGCCACCCAGATGGCCCCTGCGGACGCAGCAGAGGGAGCCAGCAGAGCCCGGGCAGGCTGGCCTCACTGTGGTTCAGGTTCCATACCTGCCTGACACAGAGGCCCCAGGGCACAGAGACAGGGAGGCTTCCCCTCGGTCCTGGCTGAGATCTGGGAGCCAGGCCCCTTCCCCACCCGTCCTGGCCTGGTCTTTCCCGGTCTTCCACTCCGGGAGATGCCTTTGGCCTCTGGGGCAGGGTGGGGTTTGTCATGGGCAGCACAAAGCCCACAGTGCTCACCCCAGCGCTGCCCCCACAGCCCACCCAGGTCCCGGGAGAGTGGCCCCCACACACAGGCAGGGCCTGGAGGGGGTCCTCCTTCCAGGCCCTGGAGCTCCACCCCATGCCAGGCCTGAGGTGAGCGCTCAGCAGGACAGGGAGGTCAGGCCTCTTCCTGGGGCAGTTCTTGAAGATGCGACTCTGCTCCTGGTATCTCTGCCCCTCCCCAAGAGCCCCCAGCTTTCCCCCAGAGCCCCTCCTCCTCCTGTGAGAACACACGGCTGTGAGATCCCGGTGGGGGCGTCCGGTGTCTGAGGTTGAGGCCTTAGATGTACATGGGGCAGGGGTGTCAGGTGTGCGAGGGGTGGGGGGCGTTAGGCGTCCAAGGGTGGGGGCCTTAGGTTCCGTGGGGCGGGTGTGATAGATGTCTGTGGGGCAGGGGGCTGTGTCTGCCCACCCAGCTAGACATTCAGACCTCCCTTCCTGGGGAGGTGGGTTGCCTGAGCAGGGCAGGACACCCAGGGTTCCACCTTCAGAGAAGATTCAGCCCTCAGGTGAGAGCTCAGTGGCCTCAGCCTCGACCCCACAATGGCAGGGCTCAGGAAAGCTGCAGATTTGTCTGGCCTCCCCGCCCCCCGAATCCCTGGGGAAACTGAGGCCCAGGGAGTGCAACTGCTGTACTGAAGCCACACAGCTAGAGGCAGGAGCAGGATTTAGAACCTGGCCTGGGCCTCCTCACCTCGAGCCTCCACGTAGAGGGACAGACTGGTGTAGGCCCCGTGTCCTGACCCTCGTCCTGCCCTCCAGGTGGGCCCCCTCAGCAGTCGGGTTGGCAGCATTCTTGGCCCAGGCTGCTGCATTTGGGCAAATGCTTTGACATGCAGATGCTGGCTTCTACCTTCTACACCCTGGCCTGGCCCCAGTTATGGGGAGACACCATGGGAGTGCAGGAGAGACCCTACAAGGGCACAGGGCTCGTGTGTGTGTGTGTGTGTGTGTGTGTGTGTGTGTGTGTGTGTGTGTGTGTG